GTAGAGACGGGGTTTCACCATGTTGACCAGGATGGTCTCGATCTCTTGACCTCGTGATCCACCCGCCTCGTCCTCCCAAAGTGCTGGGATTACAGGCTTGAGCCACCGCGCCCGGCCTCAATTTTTGTATTTTTAGTAGAGATTGGATTTCACCATGTTGGCCAGACCGGTCTCAAACTCCTGACCTCAGGTGATCCACCTGCCTCGACCTCCCAAAGTGCTGGGATTACAAGTGTGAGCCACTGTGCCGAATCCGTAGCTGATTTTAAGGCAGCTCCACCCTGCAATGTCAAAGATCCTATGGAGACGATAGGCTTCCCAGGAGTCTTCTGGTTTAGAGGCAGCACAATAAGATGTCTTCTGGTTAAGGGTGTTCTGAAGTCCCATGGCCCAGCCTCCCATCTGCTTTTAGCCAGTTACTAAATGGAGCAAGTTCCTTATTCATTTTCTTTGTGTCTCTGGATTCAGTTTTCTAAATGAACCTACCTCCTAAGTTGTTTTAAGGATTAAATGAACTGCTACATGCCTAGGGTTTCGCACACAGCACATGTATATAGCAAACATTATTTGTTATTATTATTATTATTATTGCCTTGGATTCCCACAATTAATGGTGTGTTTTGCTGCCTGGCAGAAAACAATGGACTGCTCTTCCTGGAGACCTCAGCCCTGGACTCCACCAATGTTGAGCTCGCCTTTGAGACTGTCCTGAAAGGTTAGACTACCTTTATTCTTTATTCTGCACCCTATTCCATCCCTGTGGCTTCTGCAGGCAGCAGTAGGAATGCAGACACTCAGCCCTCACCCCAGCTAATTCCTCAGCTCCTCTGTGGGCCCTGGCACCACTGCTTGTCCCCCTCAGTCCCTCCCCAGTGCCTCCCACTCAGCCTGGAGCTCAGGGAGGGAACAGGCCACACTTCCCATGGGCTGACTCTTGGTTCCTTCTCCACCCAGGTAAGTAGAAGGGACCCCAATGTCCATACTCCATTTCCTGCTGCAAAACCTCCTGCAAATGTGGCCACTCCCACACTCAGAAGGGGTATGCAGTGTGTGCGTGGGGTTGGGGAGGAGGGTGCGTGGGCTCTAAATCTTCTGGCCTAATCACTGCCCTCTCCCCTCCCAGAGATCTTTGAGAAGGTGTCCAAGCAGAGACAGAACAGCACCCGGACCAATGCCATCACTCTGGGCAGTGCTCAGGGTGGGCAGGAGCCTGGCTCTGGGGAGAAGAGGGCCTGTTGCATCAGCCTCTGACCTTGGCCAGCACCACCCTGCCCCAACTGGCTTCTGGTACTCCCTTGTCCCCACCTCAGCCCCAGGACCTTTCCCTGCCCTTTGGTTCCAGATGTCAGACTGTTCCCTGTTCACAGCACCCCCAGGACCTTAAGGTCTTCATGCCCTATCACAAATACCTCTTTTATCTGTCCACCCCTCACAGACTCAGACCCTCAAATAAAGCTGTTTTGTATCAACGCCTGGTCAGCCTGCTGCCTCCCGTCTGTTCCTTCCTCTTCTTGTCTATGCCTCCCCTTCAACTTTGGCCCCTCCTCTTAGTCTCTAATCCCCTTCCTCCCTTTCCTCTGTCCTCCCCACCATACCTACTGCCCCTCAGGGCCAGCTGCCTCTGGAGTCCTGTGGTCTGGGGATGGTGCCAAGGGGACGGGAGGTGCCCGCCCTTCCCTCTGCCAACCCCCAGGGCAGGTGGGGGAGGGAGGAGAGCATGGAAGGGAGGGGGTATCTGGAAGGCGAGACAAAGGAAGCCATCGGCGGGCACCATCTGGTGCTGAGGGCCCTGGTGCCAAGAACTGAGGTCACTCCAATGCCAGGGGCAAGGGGAGGAGGCAGCGGGAGATGCAAGGGAGAAGAGGGAGTCAGGGCCAGTCCTGTAGGTGTGTACTGGGGAAGGGGTTTTTAAGCCTGAGAGGTGGAAGGTCTAAGCCCTCCATCCAGTTTTTTGTTTGTTTTTTTTTTGAGATGGAGTCTCACTCTGTCACCTGGGCTGGGGGGCAGTAGTATAATCTCGGCTCACCGAAACCTCTGCCTCCCGGGTTCAAGCAATCTCCCTGTCTTTGCCTCCCGAGTAGCTAGGATTACAGATGCCTGCCACCATGCCTGGCTAATTTTTGTATTTTTAGTAGAGACAACGTTTCACCATGTTGGCCAAGCTGGTCTCAAACTCCTGACCTCAGGTGATCCACCCACCTCAGCCTCCCAAAGTGCTGGGATTACCGGCTTGAGTCATCAAGCCCGGCCCATCCAGTCTTCTTCCTGATCCCAAGGAAGAGGGATAGATTGGATCCAGTGGGGTAAATGGGGAGGATCCCTGTCTCAGCTCTCTGCCCCCTCTCCATGGAGCCTAGCAATAGCTGTCCAGGTAGGATCTCTGTCACCCTGACTAACCTTCCTCTGTTTTTTTTTTTTTTTTTTT